GGTCTCACGAGGGGAGGGCCGTAGCCTGCTGTGTTCACTGCAGCACCTGTGGCCCCGGGGCGGGGAAGGGGGTGTCCCCAGGACTTGCTCGACTGCTGGTCGTCGTATACTGAACAACCTACCCATTTACATCGTTATCCCCCTTTCATGGATGAGACTCAGAAAAGTTGAAGAGCTTCCCAAAGCCACACAGCAAGTGAGGGGCAAAGCCCAGACTCGAGGTAGGCCCTTAACCCTCAGTTTCTGGGTACGGCCTGTGCCAGCAGTGAGAAGGCCTGGGGCCTCCCACGGCCGGAAGGATGTTTAAAAGGGGGTTTGCCAAAGGCCCTCGTGTCCCCAGGAGTGTAATGCCCACTATTCAGTGGGACCTTAGGTGGTAGCCTTGTTTCTTTGTGCCTCAGTTTCCTCTATAAAAATGGGGGAAACAACCCCTGCGTCTTTTAGAGTTGCTGTAAAAGTCAGTCATGAGCTGGAACAGTGCCTGGTCCATGCCAGGTGCTCATGGCCTGCAGGCCGTCACCGCTGTGGCAGTTTGGGGCTCTTCCTGCACTCCAGGATCAGACTCATCAAGGCCACAGCCCATCGGTCTGCCCGAGAGCCTCAACCGGATCTTTCCTTTCTTTTTAAAGATTTATTTGAGAGAGAGAGAGACGGAGCGCGTGCAGGGGGCAGAGGGGAGGGGCAGAGGGAGAGAGCGAATCCAAGCACACTCAGCTCAGAGCCCAATGTGGGACTCGATCTCACGACCCTGAGATCATGACCTGAGCCGAAACCAAGAGTCGGCCACTTAACGACTAAGCCACCCAGGCGCCCCAACTGGATCTGTTCCTACACTAATGGGTCCTGACTCCGGGGGGGACTCCGTGTAGGGCCCTCCAACAGAACTAATGCTGGGTGCTCAAAGGAGCAGCAACTGGGGGCAGTGAGGGCCTCAGATGCATCATGTGTGTCCTTGGGGCTGGTGAAAGGCACACACACAGAGATCCTAAAACTGCTGCTGCTGCGTTCAGGGCGAGAGTGGAGACTTTCAGGTACCACCGTGTGGCTCCCAAGCCCAGGTGTCAAGCTGCTGACCAGATCCCCGATGGCAGGACCCAAAGGTGTCATGTGGCCTGCTCAGGGCTGCAGCCTCCCCCGTGAGTGGCAGGAGCCAGCGTGGCGGTCAGCGGGGGTCGGGGGCTCACCTGGGCAGGGCAGACAGCCTCACAGAGCTTACAGGCGATGCAGCGCTCCTCTCCCGATGGATACCGGCGCAGCGCATGCTCTCCCCGAAAGCGAGGGCTCAGTGGGCCCTTCTCGAATGGGTAGTTGATGGTGGCAGGTTCCCGGAACAGGTAGCTCAGGGTCATGCCCAGGCCTGTGGGCAGCAGGTGCACGGTGGGTGGGGGCCCCTCCTCCCTAACAATCCGCGCCCACCCCCCCGTCCTGCCAAGCCCCCTTCCCCCAGGGCCCACCTCGGATGAGCTCAGTCCACAGCAGGGTCTGAGCCGCCCTGTCGGTCACCGCCTTCATGTCCATCGAGGGTTCCCGCATGTTCACGAACTCTGCAGGGAAGGTGGGCTTAGAAGGGGCCATGGCAGGGTCTCTCATGTGCCCATGTCCCCGAGGAATCCAACTCAGGGAGATAGGGCCTCGTCTTCCTTCCAGCTGGGCCTCAAGGGCTTGTTCGTTCATCAAACCTTCCGGCCTCAGCAAGCGCCCTGCAGGGCCTGTCTCTGGCTCCGGGCAGTCCTTGCCCACTTCTCCTGGTGTGTGGGCAGCCGTCCGAGCCCAGGAATTGCGGGGGGTGGGAAGGGGCTTGGGCGGTGAGGTCCTGGCACAGGATGGACACCCGAGCCTCACACCTGGCAGCTCCCTCCCTGTCCCACGCAAGGGAGCTCTGAGCTCAATGTGTGGCCACAGGGAAGGCTCCCCACCCCCTCACTGACAGACCCTGCCCCCATGAATCATATTCAATCTTGATCATCGCACAGAGTAGAAACAGAGGCTCAGCGAGGGGGAGCCTCTGGCAAAGGCAGGACTAGAACCTAGGCCTCCACCTCTGCCTCTGGCAGGTTCATGATCAGGAAAGCCTGAGGGTCAAGGTGCCCCAGGACTCACTGTAGGTCGCTGCCACTGTGCTGCTGTGGAGGCTCCGGCCAGTGGGATGCCCTGGAAGGGGAGGGATTACACTGTGCAGCTGCAGCCTTGGGTCGGGAGACTGGGCTCCCTCCCCCCGCCGCCCCGCACCCCGGGAAAGGCCCCCTTGGTCCTACCTGCACGTGCAGCCTGGGCCAGGGCCCGAAGCAGTGCTGGGGTAGTCAAGCAGCGCATCTGCAGGCATGAAAAGGGAGGGAGGCACGGGTGGGTCCCAGGCCTGTCCCCATAGGAACTCTGGCACAGCAGGAGCCCGGACCTCAGTGCCGCTGTGTCACCTGGTCTCCGATTTACCCCCATTCCCAACCGAGGCACAGAAGGCCTCCCTGCTCCCAAGAGCGGCACCTCCCAGCCCTGCAAACCTGACCCAGCTCAGCTGGGGCTAAGAGTTAGGAAGTACCTGTGGACCCCGTGTCCTTTCTTTTTTTTTAATTTTTAAGAGATTTTACTTATTTATTTGACAGACAGACACAGTGAGAGAGGGAACACAAGCGGGGGAGAGGCAGGCAGAGGGAGAAGCAGACTCCCTGTGGAGCAGGGAGCCCGATGCGGGGCTCGATCCCAGGACTCTGGGATCATGACCTGAGCCGAAGGCAGATGCTTAACAACTGAGCCACCCAGGCCCTCCCCCGCCCCGTGTCCCATCTTATCTCACCTTTTAAGAAATGTTTAAAATCCATCCCTTCTCTCTCTCCCCCCTCCCCTGTTCATCCTCCCCGGATCTGACCCAAAGAACACTGCCAGCAGTCACCAGGATTGAAAGCTCACGGTGTCAGGCACCGTGGTTAGGGGGTCACACACACTGTCATCTGGTCCTTACGAGGACCCCACGAGAAGCACAGATGAGAAGCTGAAGCTCAGCCGTGTTAAGTGACTTGCCCAAAGTCACACACACTGGGGGGTGTGGGACCAGTACGTGAACTCAGGCCAGACTCCTCCCTTTACACCCACATTCCGCCCCCCCCTCCCCCGCGCCGGGAAACCGTTTAAAGGCTTAATAACCCTCGGGATCACCTTCTTTTCCCCACCATCAAATTCCTTCTGGAACGGTCTCCCCGCCTGCCAAGTGACCTTGGGCGGGTGAGGTCATCTTGCACGTTTTCTCATCTGTTATATGGGGTTCATGAGAGCGAAGGCGGTTGTACATGCCCAGAGCCTGGCATCTAGCCGAAGCTCAAGTGACCCTCCCATGACAGATGACTTCCCGCGGGCCCCCCTCCTCTGACCGCTGACTCCAGCGCCAGCGCCCTGCAGCCTGACACCTTCCCGGGCCTGCCCCATGACCTCCGACCCCACGGGCGCGGGCGGGGCATGCGCCTTGGCGGTGCCGGCTCCCGGGTCCGCCCGCTGCACGCTGAAGGACACCTGGACCGCCAGCCCTGAGCAGGCCGAGATGAAGCCCGGCCGCAGAGCCGGCGGGGCCGAGGAGAGCCACCACACTCGCCCCCGACGCCGCCCCGCCCAGGCCCGGCTTTTAAACAGCTGAGCCCCAACACCTACCTTGAAGCGCTCTCGCTCCTTCCCTTGCTGAGCGGCCTGTCCGCCGAGAGGCGGAGCCTACACTCGGAGACGCTGCCATTGGGCCGGCTGGTTTCACCTTTTCCTCGCTCATCTTTTCTGGTGTGGCTTGATTGGCCAGTGGCGCAGCTGAAGGAGGCGGGATCCAGAGCATCTTTCCTTTGATTGGCTAGGGGAGAGCCGACTCTTGGCGTTGCGCCGGGCGCCGCCATGTTGGATTGGAGAGGCCAATAAACGAGGACTCCCGCGCCACTGGAGGCGGGACGTTCGGGGCGTGGCTTAGGAAGCAGCTCCGGGTCAGACCTGGCGCCCTGGGCCGGAGGAGAGAAGCTGGGTAGCTGCGGGCTACTTCTGATAACGGTGTAGAGAATTGTGGCCGGCGGTGATTCCGCGGGAGCCGTGCCTGCTCGGTGCTAAACCCTTACCCGGAAGCCCCGTCTGGAGGATTATTCTCGCTTTCCTGATGGGGAAACTGAGGCACGGACTAGTTTAGGAACTTTGCCCAAGCGTTAGAGCCGCAAAGTGCGGCCGCCGGAGTCTCACGTGGATGTGTGTGACTCGTGATCCCTGTCCCTCAGCAGCCCCCAAACTGTTTCCTCCCAGTGGATCGATTGTGTGGCAGAGGGACCCCGGAGGATGCGGGCACGCAGAAGGCCCTTGGGGCCGCCTGTGTGTTGGTGGTGGGCGGGGGAGTGGGAGGTGGGCTTGCAAGGCTTCTTGGATGATGTGATGTCCACGCAGACTTCGAGGAGGAAACAGGGCAGGCCAAGGGCAGGCATGCCCCGCGTGTGTGCAGAGGTCCTCTTGAGAAGGACGACAGGCCAGGTGTGCGGACACGGGGCTGTGGAAGAGACCCCAGGGACTCTTGTGGGTCCTGGCTTGCGGGGCACAGGGAGCCGCTGAAGGGTTCAGGCCGAGGGGTGGCATGGTCCAGTAGCTTTGGGAAGATCAGTGGTGCACTGAGGTCAGGCCTGCGGGGAAAGGGGAGGGGACAGATGGCCCTGGGCATGGTGACCAGTGTGTGGATTGGCAAGTTCTGCAGCGTTATAGGACCATCAGGACTTACTCAAAGATGGGACTTGGGAGGTGAGAACGGGGTGTTGAGCCGGGGGCCCCAGGGGTTTGGTTTGGTGGCTGAGTGGATGAGGGACCATTCCATGGCATCAGGGCCCAGGAGGATGAGCAAGACAGGGAAGAGGGTGAGTCTGGTGTGGGACATGGTGAAGGGAAGGCACCCAGGGCCAGCCACTGGAGGGGGGGGGGGGCAGGAATGTGCCCAGAACTCCTGAGAGGCCTGAGAGCGGGCAGACTGGCCCCACCCAAAGGAGGAGACAGGATGCCTGGAGCCTGGGATCCACAGCTCATTTATTATTGAACTCCAAAATTTAATCCTCACAGTGATCTCTGGAGGTGCTGATAGTTATCACCTCCCCTGTACAGATAGGGAAACAAACTCAGGGAGGGCAGGGATTTCTGCCCAGGGCCTAAGGCCGCTGCAGGTCCATGGTGTGACCTGGACCAGATGCCAGGTCCCCTTCTGCATCCTCCACGGGAAGGGGGGTGGCTCAGAGGTGTCCACATCTCCTGGCCTCTCCCAGGACTCGAGTGGCTAGTGTGGGGGCAGGGAAGCGGGTTACCGCATTGTTTCCCATGCTCCCTTGCCTTGGCCTGTCCTAGCTGGGGGGCAGTTGAGGGAGGAGGAGGCTGAGGGCTCACAGAGAGAAGCCCCAGGGGGGGACGAGGGCAGGCACTGGTCTGGGCTGTGGTCTTTTCCTCCTCGGATGTGAGCCTCAGGCACATCTGCACTGGCTGCAGGTGGCAGGGGCAGCAGACTCACAGGTGTGAGCCAGGCTCAGAGCAGGGTGCAGCTGCAGCTGCGGGCCTCCATGGCCAGCAGCAGCATCCTCAGGTTTCGAGGCGAGTAGGGCGGGTAGCGGAGGGAGTAGATCTTCTCTAGCCCGGGCGGGCGCAGCAGGCAGGCACGGTGGTGGGAGAAGGTGTCGAAGGAGAACTTGCCGTGGTAGCTGCCCATCCCACTGGCTCCTGTACGGTGGCATGGGACACGGCAGTCAGCCCCGCGGCAGCCAGCTGGGAGCATGTCGGACACACCTGGGCTCTGCCGGTCACACACAGTAGGACCTGCGTTTCCCCGTCTGTAAAATGGGCTAATCACGAGGCAATGTAGGTAAAGGGCTTAGCTCTGAGCCTGGCACCAGCAACAACTCGGTAAATGTCGGAGACACCAGGTGCTGGGGCAAGACAGGTCAAGAGTGTGGATTCTGGAATGACTGCTCAGAATTGAATCCCAGCCCTGAATTAAATCTGTCGCCTTGGGCAATTGACTTCGCCTTGGTCTTCTCTGTGACCTCAGATGACAATGGCACCCACCTCCTAGAGCCGTGGGCCTTGGGTGGGTGTTCAGACCCAGGGACACAGTAAGTGCTACGTTGCGTCCAAAGTGTTTAGGTAGGGAGGCCGTCGAGCACCAGGCTTCGGCACTGCAGGTCCAGGGGACCCACGATGGGTTGGGGAGTTGGGGGTAATGAGGGAGGGCTTCCTGGAGGGAGTGAGGCCTGAGGGATGTAGAGCTGACCAGAGGAAGGGGGTGGGGGGGGGGGCAAGAGGGACCCAGGCTTGGGGACGACTCAGAGAGCCTTGGAGGTGGGGGACCTGTGGCGTGCAGGGACCTGGCCGGGCCCAGTGTGGCTGGGGCAGCAGGGAGGGAGGCAGGGAGAGGAGGTGGACACCATGGGCCAGACCAGAAAGGGCTGGGCCCCAGGAAGCTGTGAGTCAGGGCCTTGCTCAGTCCTGTGGAGAGTAGCGGGATGGGATCTGCCCCCAGACAGACCGCCGCACTTCCCTGGAGGAGAGGGGCCGGGACTGGAGACGGGCAGTCAGGTGGGCAAGGTCGGGGCGCCGGGACAGGGGCCAGCAGTGGGACCCGGTCCCCGGGGCCCACACAGCCTCCACGTCTGCTCTCAGCTTGCCATGTACCCCTGTGGCATCGGCTGCTCCCAGGGAACGTCCAGACCCACCCGGACAATTTGTCGGGCCCTACCGGACCCTGGCTAAGGTGCCTAGTGTGGACAGGTGCCAGTCTGGCTCTCCCATGCCGCTAAGGAGGCGACAGGGTCAGAGAGGGACCTGGCTTCCCCAGATCACACAGCCATTGGGCTCGCTGGGACCAGCCCCGAGGTTTCCTGCCTCGGAGGCCAGGACTTGGCACCAGTCTTGGGGGCTGCTGGGGCCGGGGGGGTCTCCATTCCCCCGGGCTGGGAACAGCCCCTGTCTCTGGGGAGGGGGGGGGCTGTGTGTGTGACACACCAAGTGCTGGACTGAGGGGACACAGGAAGGGTTCAAGGGGCAGTTCGGAGCCTCCCCGTGGAGTAAAGGGAGCACGTGAGGCCGCCCCATGTGAGCTGGTGGGCAGACTCGAAGCCGTGCCTTTGATGAGAAAATCAGTGACGGCCCAGGGACCGGGAACACAGTGGTGCCAAGAACCCCAAAGGGTGTCCCCGTGGGTCCACCTCCATATGTACAGGCAGGGACAGGTCTGGAGGGTTTCTGCATGTTGGAGGTGTTGGGGTGCCCTCCGTCCAGTAACAGCGAGAGAAGGCGGGACTCTGCGGGCACCTACCCACTCCTCCGAAAGGCAGGCTGGTGAGGGTCATGTGCATGAAACCGTCGTTCCCGCAGAAGCCCCCGCTGCTGGTCTGGGCCAGTACTCGCTTGACCACCTGGGGGCAGGGAGGGGAGCAGCTATGAGGCCTTGTGGCTGGGCAGCAGGAGGCCAGCCAGCCACCCCCGCAGGGTCCCAGGAAGAGTCTGGCCACCTTGGGAGCTGCAGGGCTGCTGTCACAGGTGGGGGTGTGGTTGTGTAGCAGCCTACCACTGAGCCCCCAAGTCGGGACGTGTTTCCTGAGCAGCGGCTCGAGTTTGGCCCGTGCAGGGTGCTGGGGACACAGACGCAGGGCCAAGAGGGAGTCAGGAAGCCCAGTGGTCGCCTGGGGGCCTGGAGAGTTCAGGGTGAAATGCCAGGTAGTCAGGGAAGCGTCCCAGGGGAGGGATGTGATGCGCCTGCTGCCTCTCAGGGGAAAGAGGGCCCCCCAGGCAGAGTGAAGGGCAGGTGCAGAGACCCAGGTGTGCGGCACAGGGAGGGCCTTTAGATGCGGTGATGTAGCCAGATTTGCATTTTAGAAACATGAATGTGGCCCTTGCTTGACTTAAAGAAGACCTTTACTCTTTAACCTATAGGTTTACTGGAAGAACGAGAAGGGGAAAAGATTAGTAAACACTCTGTATCATCGCCAGAAAACTCGGCTGTATTTAGCTATGCCATGTGATCCTGAACTAACGGCTTGTCTGCATGGTGGGAAGAGGGAACCGCCCCGTGAGGGGGCTCAGAAATCACGGGCCAACAACAACAGCGACAGAAGAGGGAGCAGGAGGGTCGCAATGCTTCTTGGGGGCAGCCGTGGGTCGTAGGTGTGACTTTGTGTAACTCCGGGCCAGTCAGTGCTGGGCATTCGGGAAAGCTTGGAAGTCACAATGCCAAACGACTCCCTTCCGAAAAACCCGGGGTTGTAAAGTTTCTACAGTTAGTATTATCCAGATAGAGCAAGGGCTCCTTGCCGGAATGGCTGACTCTAGGGCTGAGCAAGGGCAACACAGGATGAGCCGAAGCATCTCGTGGACTGTGACAGGAAGTGGTTGGAAAACAAAAGGGGGGGTTGCTGAGGGACACAGCAGCCCCCAATACCCAAAGAGGGACAACCTGAGAAGGACACAAGGTGGTGTCGCACTGTAAGCCGGAGAATAAAGCAGATGCATACGAGTCCATGCTGACAGAAGTGATTCAGGAGCCAAAACTTTCTTACAGATTCTGGGGGACGTAAGTAGGTGTCCCCCTTCAGCAGGTGGCGCTCAATCCCACTCCTTCCACGGAGCCACTTGCTCCCAAAGAAGAGGAAGGTCTGGTGGTGGAAACACCTGGCAGACAGGACCTTGGCCTCACCAGTGATGTGTGGCTCTCGATCCCTGATAGGAGGGCAGAGGCCAGCCCTCGCCGCCGTGGTGTTCTTTCATGAGACAAATAGCAGAGCACTGAGGTTGGGGACATGCTGCAAGGGACCTGGTCAGCACCTCCCAAGCTGAGAGGTAGTCACGGACCGGAGGAGCCATGACAACTAAATGCAATGTGGGGCCCTAGCTGGGCTCTTGGGGCTGAAAGAAAAGCGTGAAATCCAAGTCAAATTTGGAGTGTCGTTAACGGTAATGGACCAACCACCGTCTCTTGGTTTTGACAAACATAAGGGCCCTTAAATGGGGGAAACTGGTAGCGGGTTGTATTGGGACTCCCTGGACTACTTTGTCTTCTGTAAAGCTAAAATTATTCCAAAATAAAAAGTTTATTAAAAACATACTGCCCAGGCGCCTGCGTGGCTCAGTCAGTTAAGCATCTGCCTTCGGCTCAGGTCATGATCTCAGGGTCCTGGGATCGAGTCTTGCATCGAGTCCTGCATGGCGCTCCCTGCTCAGCGGGGGGTCGTCTGCTTCTCCCTCTCCCTCTGCCCCTACCCCTTGCTCATGCTCTCTCTCTCTCTTCAAATAAATAAATAAAATCTTTTAAGAAAACCACACTGTCCAATCTGCGAGGGATCTCATAACAGCCGGGCGAGAGAGGAGGGTATGTCCTGAGCTGTGGACGCCTGCCCTGTGCCCTTGAGGCTCCCGGGATGCCCCCAAGGGGCTGAGCAGGGCAGGGGGCTGGGGTTCAGTTTCCCTGCATGTTCTGGCCCTTCGCTCTCCCCTAGTCATTCCACTCCATTCTGTGTGTGCCTTCTATGAGCCAGGCACTGGAAGGGGGCACGTGACCACCAGCCAATGATGAGGAAGACCGGGGGCGGGGGGGCTTATGGAGCAGGGACACTGGACCCTGGAGAAGACCTGGGGGGAGCTGCCCACTAATGGCCTAAGAGACTGCGGCTTAGGTTGGAGGAGAGGAGGCCCGGCTGCCCCAGGGAGAAATGACAGTGACAGACCCAAGAGTGCCACCATCCAGAATTCCTGTGACTGTTCCAGAAAAGCAGGACCCCAAACCCTCCCTCCAGGGCTCTTGGTCCATTCCAGTCCGGGAGCCACCTACCCTTCTGCTGTCACCACCCCACCATCCACCACTGGCCCCTGCCCCCACCTCTGTCCAGCCCCCACTCAGCTCTGCCTGAGTCCCCCCCCCCCACCTGATTGCTGTTGGAGAAGGCATACAGGGCCAGGGGCTTCTCCCGACGGTTGATGAAGTCGATGGCCTCGTCCAGGCTCCTCACGTTCACGATGGGCAGGATGGGGCCGAAGATCTCCTCCTGCATCACCGGCTCGGTCTCCTGCACGTCCACCAGCACCGTGGGGGCTGCGGGCACAGGGGACGGCTCAGCCCTGGGGCCGGGCAGGGCAGGGGGGGCACGGGCAGGGCTCAGGGGCCTTCTGGGGAAGGGAGCATCCCCGCAGCCCCCGGGAAGGCCGGTGAGGGCTTCTCCGGCCCCGGCGGGGGCCGAGGTGGAGCGGAGGTCAGGGAGGCAGGGGCCCAGCCTGGGCTCGGTGGTCCAGCTCAGGGAGCCTCGGGGCGGGGCGCCGAGGGGGCGGGGGCGGGGCGCCGAGGGGGCGGGGCCCAGGCTCGCGGCCCAGGCGGGCCCCGCGTCCCGGAAGGGCCTTGGCAGGGCGGCCACGGTGGCGGCAGAGCGGACTCACCGATGTAGCGGTCGCTCTCGTCGCTCTGGCCGCCGATGACCACGCGGCCGCAGCCCAGCAGGCCCCGGAGCCGCCGGAAGTGCTTCTCGCTGATGATGCGGCCCAGGCTCGGGGAGCTCCGGGGGTCCTCGCCGTAGAAGCGGGTGATGGCCCTCTGCAGGGCGGGCAGCAGCCGCTCCTGCGTGTCCGGGCTGCACAGGACGTAGTCGGGGGCCACGCAGGTCTGGCCGCTGTTGAAGTAGCGGAACCAGGCCACGCGGTTGGCCACGGTCTGGGGGTCGCAGTCGTCGTCCACGTAGCAGGGGTTCTTGCCCCCCAGCTCCAGCGTGACGGGTGTCAGGTGCTTGGCGGCGGCAGCCATGACGATCCTGCCCACTCGGGGGTTCCCTGGTCGTGGAGAGAAACCAGGGTGACCCGCAGTCCCCTCAGCCAGGTGGGATGGCCTCAGCCTGGGGGCTGGGACCCTTTGAGAGGGGTTCACTCCCTGGCCTGTCCTCCCTGGAGAGGGGGTGGAAGTGGAGGGTGCCAGCCCCCCGGCTCTCCCCTGCCAGTCCCTGCACCAGGACCTTGCTCACGGCCTCAGCCAGACCAGCCCAACAATGCAGGGTCTATGTAGGGGTCTGTACCCTGCAGCAAGCCAGGCCCTTGGCTCCCTCTCCTGACCTGCCTTGTTAGAAATCCAGGAACCCCTTGCCTTGCTTCTGATCTCAGGCTCCCCCTGCCAGTGACTGTTGCTGGCATGTCACTCTGCACCCCTCCCCACCTCTCCAGTCTTCTCTAGAATTGGCAGAGACTGCTCTGGTCCAAAGCCAGAGTCCAGCGCCACGGGCTGCCATTTGGGTCTCTCTCTCTGACCTAACCTGCCAGCCCCGCCACCCTCGCCACCCACCCTTCCCTCTGCTCCTGACCCTTGGCTCAAGTGGCCACGTACTTGTCTCCATCTCTCCTCCGGGTTGATCTCCAGAGTCTCACAGTACCCCCCAAACCCCCTCCCCGACCTAAAGTCCCCTGACCTCAAGATGTTCCTGCCCATGCCTGGCCCAGGGTCCCTTGCTGCCATTTCTACTGGGATGGCCCTCTCTGGCCACCACTGCCTGGGAGCCTGATGTCCCTGCTTTCACTTCCTCCAGCTTCCCTGCCTTTCCCCTGGCCCACCCCGCTCCAGGCCCACCCACGTTCCATCACCTGTTCACTCCTCCCTCAGGTCCTCCTGTCTTTCAGAAACATCTCCTTGTCTGTGAGGCCCCCCTCGTCTGTTGAATCCTGCTGTGCTTCCCTGCCTGAGTCCCTTCCAAGGGCCCCATCATTCCCACGCTATTCTTCACCCTCTGTCCCCTGTCCCCCTGCTATAATGTGAGCTCCTCTGGGGTGGGAGGCTTTGTCCCCTTAGCCCTCGCTTTATCCAGGGCTTGGACAGTGTCTGGACAGGGCACGTTCTCTCAGAAAACAGCGAGCGAGTGAGTGGATGCTTCCCCAGGCCGCAGGCTGTGACAAAGGCTTCCACGAGTTCATACACCTCAAGACAGACCTGTGACTGTCATCAGATAAGGACAGGCCTGCAGAGTCAGGAGCTTCTCGCAGCGTCTGCGCAGGCTGCCCAGGTTCCTGGCCCCAGTCATGGGGGGGGGGTCAAGACCCAAAGCCCGCAGATCTGCCGGGTGGGATGGTGGAAGGTGGGCCGCCCCTCCCCATGTCTCCTCCTGCTTCTCCAGCCACTAGGAATCTGTGAGACCAGCTGAGGACTCTGCCCCCTGCTTCTACAGCGGGCTCCCTGTCAGCCAAGCTGAGGGCCCATGGGCCCTGTCCTGAGCTTGTGGCAGGGTTTCGGGGGGAGAAAGGCCGAGACAGCACTCCCCCTGCTCTGATGTGGACAAGGTGCGCAAGGCATGAGGCCAGGGAGCAGGAAGGCTCAGAAGCTGCTGTCTGCCCTTGTCTGCTTTCTCTCTCCTCCAGAACCTCAGCCAGGTAACACAGCTCCCTGCCTCCCCGGCTCTTTCACCCTTATAGAAACTCCCTCCTGAAGCCAGGTGGTGTCCGGACCTCGTGGGCGCAAGCCAGGGAGATGGCAGATGACCTCGGAGAAAACTTCTAACCAAGGGCCTGGGAGGAAAATCCAGCCTTCCCCCATCCTGGCCCCTGGGGTGGCCCCAGCTGGGTGCCGTGGCCCTTTGTTCCCTTGGCCTCCAAGCCCTCATCTGTCCAGCCCTCCACAAGGGCCCTGGGTCAGTGGGGTCATGTCTAAGGTCCTGAGGCCAGTGGGTGGCATATAAGGTCAGGGGCACCTGGCACAAGGGGAGCTTGGCACGGGCAGATGCTGTGATCCGTGAGACTGTGACCAGTGGAGGGGCCTCCGGAGGGTCCTAGGGGTCAGGGTTGCTTCCCAGCGTGCTCTAGGGGCATCGGGCAAGCTTGTCCTGGAGCCGGTCTGCTTCCTTCCTGGCTGTCTGTGTGCCTGGGTCCCTGTGGCCTCTCTCAGGGCTGGGGACAAGACCCCTGAAGGGGTGGCTGGGCTCCACCAGCCCCCATGCTGAGCCCCCCAAGCCCCGCCCGCAGCGGGTACCCTGGCCTCACCCGTGAAGAAGATGTAGTCAAACTTGTGCTCCAGCAGCTGCCCGGTCTCCTGGGGCCCTCCCAGCACCACGGCAAAGCAGCTCTGCAAGATGGGGTGGCAGACGGTTCCCTCTGGGACCCCAGCCTGGGGAACGCAGGGGGCTGCCGTGTGGGTCCGCCCCCCAGTTGCCTGGCCTGACCCACAGTTTCCGGGGCTCTAGGTGAACCAGATGGGAGCAGGGAGCTGCCCAGTGTCCCAAAAGGCACGAGGTTAGAGCCTGGCTGGGGCTGGCAGGGAGGGGAGGCCAGGGCGGGGTGGTCAGGGCTGACCAGAAGACAGATGGGAGTCCCCGGGGGCACACTCCTCAGAGCACAGCTGTGATCACTGCTCCTCTGTTTCACTCAGAGGGAAAGAGTCTGAGGGGGCAGCGACCCCGCCATGGCCGCACGATCCAGACGAGGCAGGATGGCGGTTGGAACTTGGGTCCTGCCCGAGGGAGCCTGCCTGGTCCTGCTGAGCCCAAGTGTAGCTGCTCGGCCCACTCCGTGCCCTGCTCACCTGGTCCAGGTATCGGGGCAGCACCTCAGCCAGGATCTTCTCGGTGCTCCTGCTGAACTCCGATGGCTTCAGCACCACGCAGTTCCCTGCAGGGCAGGGCAGGGCAGGGGGAGCGCTGGGAGAGGGGTGGCCCCTCTCATCTCCATTCAGTCCTTACACCTGCGGGGCGGGTGCCTGGCCCACTCTGCTCTCAGGTGAGGAATCTGGCTCAGAGACTGGCAGGACCAAGGCCCCACTGCCCAGGGATGGTGGGCCAGGCGGGAACCAGCTTTTCTTAGCCACTCGCCGCCAGCTCCCCACTCCCTGGCTCGGTGGGCTACCATGAGGCCTGAGGACAGGGACAGTGGGCAGAGGGAAGATGGAAACTGCTCTCACCTGCAGCGAGGGCACCCACCAGGGGCACCAGGGTCAAGTTCACAGGGTAGTTCCAGGGGGCAATGATGAGCACCAGGCCGAAGGGCTCCTTCCGGATGAAGGCTGAGTCCAGCTGTGTGCCCTGGGCCCCGGGGCCAGCGTGGTGGTGAGTGGTGGGGCCTTGGGACTCCCAGCCCCTCCGCGCCACCCTCCAGCTGGTGAGGCTGCCCGCGTGCCCTCACCCCCCAGGCCAGCTCACCAGGTTCTTGGGCACTTTCTCATCCTTCATCCAGGCCCTCAGATTCCTGAGGGCCAAGTCAATCTCGATCTGGCTGATTCTGATCTCAGACACCTCTGCCTCGAAGGCTGACTGCAGGAGAGAGACAGGGGCAGGGTTCGGGCTGGGGGACCCCAGTCGGCAGGTGGCCTCTCACTTGCTCCTTCATTCATTCACTCCGGGTTCAGCGAGTGCTTCCAGCACTCAGGAGCCCTTCCTGTGCCAGGAACGCAGCAGCAACTGAGAGCACAGAGAGCCTGCTCGGCAGAGCTGACGTCGTAGGGGGACAGCCGCCATGATGCTGAGAACACGGACGTGACCAGAGCAATGGAAGTGAAACGGGGAGGGGGACAGAGGCTGCTGGAGTGTGTGTGCGTGTGCGTGTGTGCACGTGCGTGGGTGTGTGTTGGGGGCCTGTACACGAGCGTGCGCATGTGAGTGCAGGAGCATGCATCAGTGCATGAGTGTGCGCCTCTGTGTGCATGTGTGTGTGTTTGCTTTGCTTTCTACAAGATTATCAGTGCTGGCCTCTGGGATGAGGTGACATCTGAGCAGGGAGGATCGGGAGGGAGGGAGCTGACGGATACCTGGAGGCCGAATATTCCAGACAAAGGGCATAGTGTGTGCAAAGACTCTGAGGTGGGCAAAGGCTTGCTATGTTCCTGGTTAACAAGGAGCAGAGCGGGTAAAGGGATGGCACCAGGCAGCAGGGGTGAGGACTGTCGAGGAGAGCACCCTGGTGTCATAAACGGGAAAACAGATGATTCCAGAAACGGCTGACAAGGAAGCCTGGGCCTCACCTGGCTACAGTCCCGGGTCATCATGGTTAAGAGCAGGTTTGGAGACACCAAGAAAGGGAGCAGGCATCCACAGGAAGCCAAGCCTCAAGATAAGTCCTTGTAGCCATACTTTGCTGTCCCCAAGGGATGACCCTGGATGCCATGAGGCATGAGTCTCAAAGTCTGTGACTGTTCTGGGGACAGGGCGGACACTTGGCAGGGTGCCTGTGAGTCGGGAGGGTCCCAAGGAAGCTACTGAGGGCCCCCTGGCTTTGCTGGCCCCGGGGTCTCCATCATGACGTGGGTGGAGCCAGGAGGCCCGCTGGAAGGGTGGGACCTCACCGGTTGGAAAGGAGCCACGGGCCTGGCCCTGAGGCGTTACAGGTGTTCAGGGGCTGGTGGAACACAAGGGGTGGGTCTGGACACTGTGGCCTTAGTGGCAAGTGCAAGGACATTTTGTCCTGAGAAGAACCGCCTGGACAGCTGTTCTGGGGCGGGAGTAGTCAGGCATGAGGCCCTGTCGGCTGAGGGGGCGGGAGGCTGACCACAAGCAAATGCATTGCCGTAGCTGCTGCGGGGAATTGGGAGGAGCCGAGCCCTCAGGCCCGCGGTTTGGAGGGAGGCCAATGACGCCCACCTTTCTGAGTGAAACTGAACTCCTCCATGGCCTACAAGGCGATACATGGTGTGACCTGCCTCCCTTGACCTCATCTTTTGCACATCTTGGCGTCTGTCACTCCCCTCCAGGTATGCTGGCCTCTTTGCTGCTCCTCAAGCACAAAGGCCTCCTGCCTCAGGGCCTTTGCACATGCTGTGCCCACTGCCATTTCCTCCAGTGTTCTCCCTCCTGCAGGTCTCTGCTCAAATGCCATCTCCTCAGAGAAACTGCCCCTGACTCCCACATATACAACAGCGTCCTGCACCGGGTCCTCCCTCCTGCCCTTTTCACACTGGGAATGTCTCTCCCTGGCACTTGAAACCATCCAACATGCTATACAATTAGTTCTTTATTGTTTTGTGCCTCTCTCCAGAAGGCCAGCTCCTGGGCACGGGGACTTTTACTTTTTCTTGGATCCCCAGAGCCTAGAACAGGAGACCCAGCACATGGTAGGTGCTCAGTAAAACGTTGCTGAGTGGATGAGAAATGCGTGGATGGACGTGTGCGGCAGAGGAGGTGAAGAGGCGGTCAGGGCACAGGGAAGGGGGGCGTGGTTTGCCAGGCGCTTAGTCCCCCCTCAGGGAGGAAGCTGCGGCCCCCACCCCGGCATGCCCCCCGCCCCCGCCTCCCCAGCCCCCCCACAGCCCCCAGCCCTGCCCTCCTCCCGCCCACCTTGTGCAGGTCCTGCAACAGCGCCTCCTGCAGAAGCTGCTTGTTGTCCCGCAGGAAGCGGCCCAGGCCCTTGAGCTGCGCCGCCCGGAACTCAGCTGGCCTCGTCCGCCCTGAGCCGAAGGCCTCCCGCAGCCGCCGCAGGGTGTCCGCGAAGGGGTCCATCCTGCAGGGAGGGGGCAGCGTGGGCCGGGGCGCTCCACCTTCATGGGCATTCTCCCCTGCGCCCCTGGCTGTACCGCTATGGGCTCACGGACACTGCTACAAGGATTCACGTGTAACCCCAGAGTGCCGGGGCTGCACCCCGTGCACACACACACACACACACACACACACGCGCGCGCGCGCACAGAGTCCCTTCCCCGTGGCCAGTGGGCAGGAGAGCCCTGGAGTTTGAGGTGGGTGCAGGACAGTGCGGGGGGCTTGGGAGCAGCTACTCCGCAGGCAGCCATGGGACCTCCCTTCTCCCTGCCACACAGAAATGAGCCCCAAGCCATGCCCCCATCCCACTCTGGTGCCCCTCCTGGAGATGGGGCAGCCCTCATCCTTGCCAGGCCTGCGTGGAATAACCAGGAAGACATGATAAGTAGGGGACAGTCCACTAACAGCCACCATGGCTACCACTGTGGGACAATCCAGGCACAGAATACACTGCGTCTCCTGCCCGTCTCCCGGGGGCACTGCCTGGGGAGGCCCAGCTGGCCGGGTGACCTGGGCAGTGGCCTTCGCGGTCTATGCCCCTGTCAGCAGCCCCAGCGTTGGAGGAGCAGTGGGGGACGGGGGCTGAGGGGGCAGTATGCCTCCACACTGTCAGCAGCCAGGGCAGGAGATCTGGGTGCGGCCCCCACATTCCCCCGGGCCCCTGCCTGTCTACTTGAAGCTCATCAGAGGAGCAGGGTGACGTACTCGCTTCTTGGCCTGGTGCCAAGGACCCGTGGGGACCCTTTCCTCCCGCCCTCTCAGACTCCCTTCCCTTCAGGTCTCAGCTTGGTGAACGCCTCCTCTAGGCAGCCCGCCCTGATTATTCCTTCACATAGGGAGTGGGTTTCATCCTCTCTCCCACTGGCCCCTCTTTGCCTAACCACCTGATTTAGGTCTTAGTGCTTCGATCTCCTTATCCGGCAGAGGGTAACAATAGTGCCCACCAGCTGACATGCTGTTTTTCAAAGATGAGACCATGCTGTCCAGTTCTGAGCCCAGGGCTGGGCGGCAGCATGGCCAAGGCTGCCAGTTGTTAAGTGGCTACCCCACAGCCCTCAGAATTCTGGAGTGATCCATGGCCCTGAGAGCTGAGCCTGCTCCAGTCGATAGGATGGCCCGGCCCGAAGGGCACTCTGTGTTGGCTGGAGCTCTGGGCATGATGGGGGGCCAGGCTGACCCCAAAGGCCTCCTGCTCTGGTCAGGAGAAACTGAGCAGTTGCCTGGGGGCACAAGGCAGGCCCCATGGGCCCCAGAGAGGGTGCCAGTGTAGCAGAAAGGGGACATTCTCAGAGCCCCTCTGGGCCCCAGCCTTGCCCCAGACCCCACTCTCCTTCTTGGAGGAAGGGGAGCTGGTCAGTGCCGAGGCCCAGGAGCCAAGAGCCCTACCAGCCTCCAGAGCTGCCGTCTGCGCTTGTCCCCCTGCTCGGCCTCCTACTGGCCTTATGACCTTGGGCAGGTCACTCATCTCTCTGCCTCAATTTCCCTGTCTGTAAAGTGGGGATAATAATAGCACTTGCCATCGTCTCGACGAGTAAATGACATAAGGCCCCCTAAAGTGTTGGCCACTGCGCACGTGATATGGGGCTCGAGAAAGGTCAGCTGTGGTTGTGATCACTAAGTACCTAACGAGTGTTTCTTCCTCCCCACCCGCCGCCACTCCTTGTTCTGCCTTGCGGGCGCCTCCGGACCCCTGCTGATGGATGTGGAGGGCAAAGCGCACCCGCCTCACCTGCCCCCCCCCCCAGGGTTCTTTGCCTTTTCATAAGAAATGTCTGCAGAACCCACAAAAATGTAAGGCACGTAACTGGAATGGCACACCTCTGGGCGAGGGAGGGGTGGGGAAATCTGTGGGGGTGCAAGTCCGGACAGAACATTCCAGCAGCCTCGCCTAGCAACACTGAGGCCAACTCACCCCATATAGCCCCCCCCAGGTTGGTCACTCTGGACTGAGGGACAAAGGGGTGCCCTGTTACGGGATCGGAAGCTGGGCACTGCCCAGGTGTACCCAGGAGCCCAGGCCACTTCCTGCCTGGGGTCTGGGGGGGGGAGCGGCTGGGCCTGTGACCTCACAAAGGACACACAGACGAGGGGCTTCCTGGATGGGCCTGCGCTGGGGTCTTTGAGCCCGCCTCCACCCCCCAACCCCGCACCCCTGGGGTACATATGACACTGTGGAAGCTCGTAAGGATGTTAAGCGGCATTTCCTGTGCCTGCATGACTCATTTGACCACCACGACAGCCTGCCGAGGGCACTGTCTTGTCCCCTGCAAGGAGAGGGGCGACCTCGGCACAGAGAGGGCGAGGAGGTGGCAAGGCCACCCAGCTTCTCTACACCGGAAACCGGGATGCAGAGGAATCCGGAGGAACAGAGGGCTGCCCACCTCCACTCTTCATCCCCCTACGGGGCAGCCTGACCCCTGGGGAGAGGGGACACCTTGGGGGCTGGCCTGAACTGCAGATGCAGGGCCCGTGGGCAGGGGCGTGGGGCTGGACTCGGGCGGTGCCCTCGAGGGTGAGAAGACACACTGGTTGTACCCCACTCTCTGCACCTGTCTCCCATCAGTGCCCACCCTGCTTCCCCTTGTGGCCTCCTCGGGTGAGTGCTGAGGTCCCAGGGGCTGGCGGGCCCAGGGGTCCCCTGCCCGCTAAGGGGGCCCCAGCTTCAACTACCTGCTGCGCCCCATCTGTTCCTGACTTGCGGCTCTTGGGTGAGGTGGGTGGGGTGGGAGTTGCTAAGTCAGTTGATGATGACAAGGGACAGGCCTGTTTCCCTTGGTTTGGAGGCCAGGGGAGGACATGCCACATCCCCTCAAGGCCCTGGGCCTGGGGACCCCTCTAATCATCATAATGAGCAGGTGTTGACTGCATGTGCCTGCCTGGGTGCCTGACGTGGCGCAGTGTGGGTGGCTGCACAGCGCCCCTGGGGGAAGCTGAGGCCCAAAGAGCTCGCATGGCGTCAGGTAGGGGGTGAGTAAGCTGGGGACGCAGGTCTGCTGGCTCCAAAGCATCGCTGGGAATCTGCTGCCCCGACCCCAGCCCTGCACGGCGGCCAGGCCTGCTGATGAGCTCTCCGTGGCGCGGGCCTCCCTGCCTTCTCCTCACCCAACCTCTGCACACTCTGTCATTCTCTCTGTCTCGGCTTCCTGAGCTGTCCTGGACGCCTCCTGAGGGAAACCCCCCCCCTTTTTTTTAAGTAGGCTCCATACCCAGTGTGGAGCCCAATGTAGGGTTTGAACTCACAACCCTGAGATCAGGACTCGAGCTGAGATCGAGAGTTGGATGCCCAACTGACTGGGCCACCCAGGCGCCTCCCTAAGAGCACGCCTTTGGTATGGTGTCAGGGCCCAGTGATCTGGGGTCGAATCCCGGCAGCCCTGTTTGTGAGCTGGGAGTCCTTGGGCAGGCTGCTCGGCTCCTCTGAGGCTCACCTTCCCCATCCGTGAAATGGGGATGGTACCTGAAGCTGCCCCATGGCACTGCTGGGAGAATTCATGCATGCAGTGTTCTGTGCAGGGCCGAGCCCTCTGAGTGCTCAGTGACAATGGCTCTGACAAGCATTATTCAGACAGACTGTGAAGGACAGCTGTGCCGAGGGGGCTCCAGGGAGGAGACCCTGGGGTAGAGCCCAAGGAGACCTTGGCCCACTGCGGGCACCAGGGAGGCAAGGACATCAACCAGAGACCCATGTGGGGGCAGGGATATGGAGTTGGCCAGGGTGACAGAGATAAACATGGTGCTCTGAGGGTCTGGGGGACCTCAATCAGGCTTGCCAGAGGAGGAGGTCACAGGGCCACCTTGATGACCCCACAGGTCCTGATACCCCAGGGTCTCCAATCTGATCTCCCCCTGGAGCCTGAACCTGGCTTTTCATGGGCTCTCCAGAAGCTCTGGCAGAGTCCCCTCCCTACAATGGGGGCTGGAGGAACTGGGGATCAACCCTTGGCCTGTGGGCTGAGCCAACGCCAGCCCACCCCACAGAGAGCCTCCCTGAAGCCGGCCCAGTCCCTCTGATGATCAGTCCCTCCTTCCCAGGCCCCGGCAGAGCCTGCTCCCAAGAATGGGATGTCCCAGAGTCACTGGGTACCCCGGCCCCAGCACCGGGCTCGCCTAGCAGTGCCCAGAAACTGTGTGTTACCAGATGGATGCTTGTCCCACCCCCACCCCCACCCCCCAGGGACGGGGGTGCATTCCCTCCTGGGGCAGCCAGACCCAGAGCTGGGGCGCCCAGCTCTGGAAAAGATGTGCTATAGCCCCAGGGAAAGGAAAGTGTTGGCCCAGCTCGGACAAAATGAGGGTGGCTGTGGGCCACCAGCCTCAGGAGCCCCCTGAGCCTCTCCTCCGCCCCTCCCTCTCCGGCTCTTAGGTCCGGGCAGAGGGAAGTTCCTTCCTCCTTCCCCTTTCTCCCCAGGCAGGCAGAGGAACTCCGCAAAGACATAGCCAGCCTGTGTGTGTGGCCGCCAGGGGCCAGGCCCGTCCAGGCAGCCAGCAGCCTGGTGTCCCCGAGCCAGCCCACCAGCCAGGTCCCGGGCCCTGACAGCCAGCTGCTCTAGCCCCACCTCCCTGGGACAGCGTACCTGAGGCCCCGCCAAGCTGCCCTTCCTCCTGGCCGTCCCTGCTCTGCCCTGCTGTCCTGTCGTTAACAGTCGCCGTGAAATGTCTGAGGCTGGGCGGGCCCCTGGGGCGGGGCTGCCCTGG